TAGCTGCTCAATGAGTCCATAGTTATACCTTTACCCTGTTCCCTGGTTCCCCCATTGCCTGGTTCCCCCATTGCCTGGTTCTCCCACTCACTCGTTCACCGGTTTCACTGTTCACCTTATTCCCCCATTCCTGTGTTCCCTTATTCCTGCATTCCCTTATTCCCCCATTCCCCCATTCCTGCATTCCCTTATTCCCCCATTCCCTTATTTCCCCATCCCCTCATTCCCCCTCCCCTCATTCCCTCATCCCCCCATTCCCTTATCCCCCCATTCCCTTATTCCCCCATTCCCTTATTCCTCCATTCCCTTATTCCCCCATTCTCTTATTCCCCCATTCCCTTATTCCCCATTCCTACATTTCCTTATCCCTCATTCCTTATTCCCCATTCCTTATTCCCCATTCCCTTATTCCCCCATTCCTACATTTCCTTATTCCCCTATTCCCTTATTCTCCCATTCCCTTATTCCCCCATTCCCTTATTCCCCCATTCCCTTATTCCCCCATTCCTGCGTTCCCTTATTCCCCCATTGCCTTATTCCCCCATTCCCTTATTCCCCCATTCCCTTTATTCCCCCATTCCTTACTCCCCCATTCCTTATTCCCCCATTCCCTTATTCCCCCATTCCTGCATTCCCTTATCCCCCCATTCCCTTATTCCCCATCCCCTCATCCCCCTATTCCCCCATTCCCTTATTCCCCCATTCCTACATTTCCTTATTCCCCTATTCCCTTATTCTCCCATTCCCTTATTCCCCCATTCCCTTATTCCCCCATTCCTGCGTTCCCTTATTCCCCCATTGCCTTATTCCCCCATTCCTACATTCCCTTATTCCCCCATTCCCTTTATTCCCCCATTCCTTACTCCCCCATTCCTTATTCCCCCATTCCCTTATTCCCCCATTCCTGCATTCCCTTATCCCCACATTCCCTTATTCCCCATCCCCTCATTCCCCCATCCCCTCATCCCCCTATTCCCCATTCCCTTATTCTCCCATTCCCTTATTCCCCCATTCCCTTATTCCCCCATTCCCTTATTCCCCCATTCCCGCATTGCCCCATTCCCGCATTCCCGCATTCCCCCATTCCCGCATTCCCCCATTCCCGCATTCCCCCATTCCCGCATTCCCCCATTCCCGCATTCCCCCATTCCCGCATTGCCCCATTCCCGCATTCCCCCATTCCCGCATTCCCGCATTCCCGCATTCCCGCATTCCCCCATTCCCCCATTCCCGCATTCCCCCATTCCCGCATTCCCCCATTCCCGCATTCCCCCATTCCCCCATTCCCGCATTCCCGCATTCCCCATTCCCTATTTTAAAGATAGCCATTTTTAAAGCGCCTGGGAGCGAGGATGACCCGATTGCTACCCGAAGAGTCCTCGATCGGCTTAGTCGGCATTGCTCGTAAACGAACCGTGCTTCGGAAGAACGTCTCATATTACATCACGTCTCAAACTTTCTGCTGGCTGTCGTAAATATGGTTTGGGAAACTTGTTTTAGCGTAAAAATTTAATATATATCCGTGTGGAATAGTCCAAATATAGATATAAATGGGATATGTGGTTAAGCTGTGGTTAAGCTGTGTTCATGTGGTCTATTAAAGAATGGTTTTAAAGAAATTGTCGGGTATGTTATTGTTTGTGTTGATCAGCTTGACTTGATCTTATATACACATTATATAAAATCACGGTAATCACAGATAAATCACGGGCAATTTGTTCAATTTATATTGATTACTCTTAATCCTTTTTCATATAACAGTAATATGAAAATACGAGGGAATTTATATTGTTCCTTATGACTTATGTTATTTTTTACACATGAAATTATTGATGGGAAAGCCATGTCTTATCTGAGTCAGACTCAGGCTGACTCAAAATCATTACAGTCATCAATCACCAGGAATAACAATCAGTGGAATAAGATTTTTAAAATTTTGTTGTTTTCAATTAGCTGAAAATTAAGATTTGTTCACAATGAACTGACCAGAGTGCTGTTGTTGCAAAATAATGCTGCGAATAATGTATTGGTCATTCATTTGTTTTTTTTTACATTGACCTAATAGCTGCATGATCAGGTAATTGAACTTTACAAGAACTTTGGTCTTTCAAAGATAGACTTGTGTCCATTGCACATCATGGCATATTGAATGAATGCTAATAACATATTGACAAAATCTGTAAGAACTAGTATACAAATACATTGTATAATAGTAACACAATAATTTTTTTTTGCTCTTAGTTGATGCCCACATCACCTGCTTGGGTTGAAGTGAACCAAGCCAAAAATGAATAAAAATGGGCAAATATTCTGTTGGCAGCCATTGAGTTAGAAACACACTAGGAATCATCAGTCTTCGGCTGGCAAGGGAAATAAAGACAAACAATTTGATCTGGCTAAATGATAAAAGGTATGTATATCCGTTTTTTATATTTATAATATGATTAATAGCAACAGGCATGATTTTTCCTTAGCCGTAGAAGCTTTATATACTAAAGTTGTGATAAAGCTGGTAAAAATTTGTGTAGCTAGGAATAGTCTTGTATGATGAAATTAGTTTATAATAATTTTGAAAGTGAGATAACCTAAGAGCATTTGAATAAACTGATATATTTACTTTTTATTAGAATGTGTAAGGCAGAACAGCAAAGATAGTGAAAAGGAAGCTATGTGCAAACAGATGAAGGATGAAATCATGAAAAAATGCCATGGAAAGGAAAAATAATAATTGAACTTGATAAGTGTTCTTCTCTAAATGTTAGCCAAATTGTTTTTTTTAATTGTGTATTTTAATTGTGTATGTAAATATGTGTATGTATTTAATATGATTAACTTTTGTATTTAGATTTTTATTGTATAAAACCTCTTAAGTTTTAATCCAATAAATGTTCAATCCATACATTGAAATTCACTCATGCAGCCATTTTATTATCTTCTGACTATTTCATATGTGAAACATTTCATTTTTGAAATCATTTCATATGTGAAATATTCTTGGGTAAAAATCATATATATGAAATGATTTCACATGTGAAACTATTTCACATGTGAAATTTTCATATATGAAGTGTTTCAATTCCACACAAGGTTTCATATATGAAATATTTCACATATGAAACAATTTCACATGTGAAATTTTCATATATGAAACAATTTCACATGTGAAATTTTCATATATGAAACAATTTCACATGTGAAATTTTCATATATGAAGTGTTTCAATTCCACATAAGGTTTTATATATGAAATATTTCATATGTTAAATGGTTATGTGAAATTTTTGTAAGGGTTACCGGTTTATAATGCTCAGTATTTAATAATCCGTAAGACCAATTTATCATTATTATTACTTGACTTACGGATTCATTAAGTTTATCCTCGTCTTAACTCAAAAAAGTTTTCAAAGGACTTGCATCCAGAAGGGATTTACCAGAAACAGGCTAAAATTAAACAGATGTTGAGATTATTGCACGATGATGATTCGTGATCTTAAAATTGCTACCTTTTGAAACTCTTCACGAGTTAATAAGCCTTGACTGTTCCCTGTGAAAGAAAAATTGGTAAATATAGTCATATTAAAATATATATTTCCTCCATATTGCAAAGGTAATTTCGCTTGCCTTCAGTTTCTTCCTTGTGTAAAACAGTGTCTTTGGAACCTGGTACGACATCAATCTGAAACGATTGTAAAATGAAAAAGCTAGTCTAAATCAAAGATCTCTTTCTTTTCTGCTTCCCCTGCCAGTCATGTTAGTAGCAATGTAAGGGATGGATAGTGAATGTTCTTGCAGGAAATAAATTTCATGCAAAGCGAGTTTGAAGAGAAATTCTTACCATAAAAGCGCTTGGTTCATATCTCGGCCTACGACTCAAATATCGAGTTCGTTGAACAAATGCCGAACCAAGATTCAACTTTTGACCGGAATCTTGTAATAAAATCGACGAGGGTGAAGATCTGCCGTGTTCTGTAAGCAGCATCTTTTGTTCTGCGCTGTCTAAAATGCAGGCAGATAATTTGTTCATTTCGTAAATGCGCGAACAATGGCCGATCTGTTTTAACATTACAAACCTGACTCCTTGAGTTCGGTTTTCTTCATTTCAACATCATCCCGGGTATCTTCAATATTAGTTTCCTCATCTTCTCTACACGATGCGAGGCGATCTTTGACAAGATCTACAATCAATGTACGCTGTCTGTGCTCTTGCTAAGAAGTTCTGTTGTAGTTTCAAGGCGTTGTCTGGCTCCTTTTTTAATGAGTTCGGCCAATAAATCATCTGAAATACAACAATATCAATTTGACATTCCGCCAACAGAATGCCCAACCGAAACATTGAACAGGTTTGACCCATCGTTGACAAGTTGTGGGCGAAAACATTCAGAGCACAATTTGACTGAGAAAATAAATGGGCTTACCAAAGAGTTGTTTTGGAATTAAACTTTCATAAATCTCAGTCTTTCCCACCGCTGGTCGTCACAAGATGTTTGAGTCACAAGATTTCTGTACTGAGCATACGGTACCAGTGGCCTTTAAATCGCGGGTAAGAAGGTCAGATGCTTTGGTATCGAATTTTGTGTTTGGCACCTGGCTAGAATCATCTGCACGAGTTTTGCTATCAGTTGAAGAAGCCTGGAAATGACAAATACGTTCCTAAGAGCTTTCACTAGAAGAATATTAAAACTTGGTCGCTCTTGCAAATATCTTTTGAAAATTCAGCAAGCAATCCCCGTGGCAATAGAATGACATGTGGACTTACTTTCGTAATAAATGGCACGAATTGTTTTCTTAACAATAGCGGACAGTTGACAAACCAGGATGGAATGACATTATCAGCAAGAGCTACAGTGTATTGAGAGTATCTAAGGTGAAACATATCAGTTCGTTTATATTTTAATCATTTTGACAAAACCAATAATAAAAAGTTTCAGATGTTATCGCGTTGAGCCAACTTCGATGATTCTGTGTAAGGCAAACATATTCCAAAGACTTTTTCAACTGGATCGCTGTGAAGTTTTTGTACAAAGCACAAAGCTGTTACAATGCGATTTAAACGATTTAAAAGAATGCTACCAACTTTTCGCCGAATACGATTGTGTGTTTACACAACCTAGCTCTCTTTAGGGGGTACATTGATATTTTGTAACAGATTTCATAATTTACGTAACTTCAAGAAACATACCAGAGGGAAATTCTAGCAGTGGTATGGCAACTTGAGTCGTTGGCGAAAGTTTAGTAAACTTTTCCAGATATTGTGGGAGCAGTCTAAGGACAGAAGATTTAGTAATTATTACTTAAAAAATCATATATTTGTGAAGGGTATCTCGCATCACAAGAGACGTTACGTTTAGGCTGGAGTTTATAGAAAAACGTTTCTGTAAATTCACTGAGCACATCATCAAGGCACGATTTCAAATATCTCCAAAGAAATAAACTTCTAAAACGCTGCAACTACTTAAATCAACTTCATTCTTACAAAGTGCTAATGGACATAAAAAACGTCTCAAATTCCAGACTATTTTAAGTAGCCATACCTTGCCATAACTGAAGGCATTTCTAACATACATATGGGGAGACAAGATACGCTTAACGTCGCGAAATGAGCAACCAAGTACGCATTAGACAACACTAGACGAAATATACAACAACGTTTAAGCAAGAACAGACAACCGCTGAAAATAAAGTCCCGCAGATTCTTACCTGTTCATCTTGACCAATAAAAAAGTGGTACGTACACAGCTCCGTTATTACCTGCACGTGTTACAATAAAATATCCAATTAAATCATTAGTATGGTATGATATAATTATGGTATAAATTGGTTATGGTATGGTGTGATATAATTATGGTATGATATGCATGGTTATGGTATGGTATGATTTCGTTATGTATGGTATGGTGTGATATTATTATTGTAAGATATGGTTATCGTATAGTATGATTTAGTTATGGTTAGTTATGGTATGATATGATTATATGATATGATTATATGATATGATTATATGATATGATATGGTATGGTTATGGTATGGTATGGTTTTGGTATATTTATGGTAAGATATTATGATATATGCAAAAAACTGATTGATAAGAACCGTACTGGAAAAATTCTAGCGTACAAATGAGGTCGGCGCATATCATGAGGAACACGAAATAATCCAGGAAGAAAATCGTAATTTGAAACCTGAATGCAAAGTAAAATTTTTAGTTCATGATTTTGGTGTGAAAGTACACAACTTCACTTCCCTTCCCATTTTAGAGAAGACTGTAGATATTGAACGTAAATATTGCTTTCCAGAAAGTATCAAGTTTTTATCTTGCAGTGCCTCTGGAAAGTTCCTCAGAACAACATCCAACACCTCCCATTCCAATTCCTAGAAAATGAAGAAAGTTGAACTTCAATCTTAATGCCAGATGATATATTATGATAGAAAAGTTTACCTGTTGTAAGCACACAAGAATAACATTCATCGCCTCGCTGTAAGGCAGTGAAACAATCCCGTTTGTCTTATCTTCTGCAGAACTAAAACAAAAATGAGAATGTATTACGCAAACAAGAAAAGGATTTTGGAAGCAGAATACCTGACATACGTGGCACTATCGTCATTAACCAACCTTTTCTTTCAGAACAAACAAAATACGAAGTGAATTAAACTTTTCTACTTTTGTCTTGCACAAGGCCTAGACGTTGTCAGCTCGCAGACTGAGGAAACATTGAAGAATCTTTAAGAAAACACAATGTGAGACATCATAAAAAAATCGCGAGAAATAAAATTGAATTTGCCTTACCGAAAGCCGTATTTCCGATGCACTATACGTCCGATAGCCATTGTCATAATGAGTTTTTATGTGGTACACTAATATATTGAATATTCGTTCGGCTCGTTTTTGAGGTTTACGAAACAATTTCATCTGCAAAAATAGAATGAAATTACTGAAAGAGAAGCAAGTGTGGCATTAAATTACACTTATTTTTGTTCACGAAAATAACTTCATCACAATGAACGAATATGTGTGGACAATCTCTGCATGTCCTTCATTACCTTGAACAAGCGTACTAATCCTAATACAGCCTCCTTGATGTCTTTCTACGCTGTTTCATCCTGAGGCTGCAGCAACAAAGACAAATTACAGTGATTAGATGTAATTTTATGTCTCTAGATGTTCCTACATATACCTTGCAGTCTCTATAATTACCTTACATGTTCTTTACATGACGGCTTAACGTATCGCTTGAGAGGATCAACTGGACAGTGGCAATCTGGAATTGATAAATGAAATATATATCCTTTTACTTCACTGATGCGTTTGCATTCACGACCCCGTGTAAAACGATCCAATTTGCGGATATATAGTTAGGTTCAGGTCAGGAAGCTTTCACTGATAAGAAAGAGTTTTCTATTGAAGTACAGTATCAGCTCATCACGAATGAAGAGGGAAATTGGAGTGGAGAAATGAAACCGTCTGAAAATGATTGTATTGAGTACCTTCTCGATTATATGCAAAACATCGCAAACTTTCGGTGAATCAGAGGATTCAATAACATCGACCAGAAGCTGGACAGCTCGGATCCGCACAGAAATATCCCGATCTTTGACAATGTGGTCTAAATGTGACAACACTGAATTCTCAAGTATTTCTTCCTGTAAAAAACAAGGAGTTATAAAACT